TTTTTATTTTAAAAAAATTATTTGAGTGCCAAAAAAGATATTTATCTTGAAAAATCAATTTAGACCATCAAATGTACTCAAAATGCTTTGAAAATTTTATGGGGAGTTCTCTTGATCTTAAAAAATAGTGGAGATAAAAAATGAAGTCATTTTGATGTTTATAATTTCCAAAATTAATAATCTTAATGATTTAGTGTTTGTGAAAATTAGGTGCATTTTAAATGACTTAACTCATGAAAAATTTTTCTAAAGGTTCCCTGGTCATTATAAACCTTCCAAAATTTTCTTAGAATCTTCTAATCAACATTCTAATTTACCTGACTAATTTAAGAAAATAATGTGCATAAACTTGAAAAATATAGATCTCTGTCTAGAGACTTCCTATGACTTTGGAAAAATCATAAGATGTTTCCCTTGACAGAGGATATAAAATGTTAAAATTTCAAGCCATGGTAAAGTGCCAATATGCGTGGAGGATCAAAACATTCAAATCAGTATTTAATTAATTAAAAATAAAATATTCATCAAATGGACTTCAAATTATTTCCACATTGTTCTCCTCTATTCACTGAGCAAAAGGGTATTTTTATTTTATTTTTGTGATGTTCTACACCAAGATATAAATTTTTGAATCTAGCGGTATTTAAATAAATATGAGAAATCCCTATTTATCTATTTAAACAACGCGGTGCCATGTAGATCCTAGGCAGCTCCGAACTCCCTGCGGCGTGCTCCCATTTAGCGATGCCATCCACCTCAGTACTGACTTGGCCCGCGATTTATGTTCCGAAGAGCTTTCCAGCTTGATCTCTTCCTCCCATCTGATACACGTGCGATCGGATGACTCCCCTTCATCATCCCCGATAGAGTGATCCCGTGACCGTGCACACTAAAACTCTAAGATCTCAGCCTAAACTCAACCAAATCACTTCAGGTCTGATCCTATCGACTCGTCTTTGCTCAGAAAAGTGAAGCTTCAATCAGAGGGTCTTGGCACGTTCGTTGGGGTCCAAGGAGACTAGGGATTAAGCCTCTTGTTGTGGTGTAAGGCCTAGGTATGAATTCGACTAAGCTCATTTTCAGGTGTTGGTCTAGAGCTATGGTGGAGTCTATTTCAGAGGGTAATTTGATGGTGCTTTATCTTCTCTTATTGTTGTGAAGGTGTGGGCACAAGTAATTGAAGTTTGGAGGAGTTTTCAGAGATGTCCTATTTTTTCTCTAATTCTCAAGCTCAAAATTAGGGATACAAAGAGGGAATCAAGGTAGTGGAGTGATTGAAATGGGTTGTGGAGGTCTCAAGGAAGCTATGTGAGTGATTTGGGAAGCTCTCTCTGAGAAAATTTTAGGACACCTCCCATGGCCGTGGAGGAGAGTTCTTATAAAAATGGCCATGGGGTGGCTCTCAGGGCACATGTTTGGGTGCATTGTGGTGCTTAGGTGGATGTGGTGCTTAGGTGGAGGGCTTAGGTGGAGGGCAGATGAGCTCTACAGTTTGATTTGGATAAGCTGGCCTCTAGGTTTGATTTGGGTGAAGCTCCTAGGGGCTGTTTGGGTGCATTGTGGTGCTTAGGTGGAGGGCAGATGAGCTCTACAGTTTGATTTGGATAAGCTGGCTTCTAGGTTTGATTTGGGTGAAGCTCCTAGGGGCGACTCTCGGTTTGGCCATTTTCTGGCCACTAGGCTGGTCAGTCGGCCAGAGGGAGGTAGCTAGGAGCTCAGGGAACCCAGGGGAATATTTCACAGCAATTTATTGCATTGAGGTTTAATTTTGGCAAGAATCTCCCAAGCTTAAGCAAAAATGGAATGAAATCCCTTAATTTAGGGGACCTTTGGTCCATGGATTAGTTTAGGTGGTTAGATGGGATTTAGCTCAGTCTTAAGGTCTAACTAATGGTTGAGGTGGAGTTAATTTGGTGACTTTCGGGTAGTTATGCTATCTTTAATGCATAGGTTCAATGTGGGTTCAAGTGATCAAAGTTTGGGTTTGAGCTAGGTTAGCCATGTCAAAGGACCCAATTGATTAATCAACAATGTGTAGATGATTGTTATCAAAATTTTGGTGAAGGGTTGAACTGATTTTGAGTTAAATTGGTAGGTCAATTTGAGGGATTTTTGAGATTTGGCCAATTTGGGCATGTTGGGTGAGTCATGGGTCTAGGTTGTGCTAGCCTTGGTCTAAGTCCAAATTGAATAGTTCAAATGATCAAGGGGGATGTTGTGAAGATTTTTCATGAAGGTATAGCGTTGAAATTTTATGGTTAAGGCCCTCAATTTGGTAAAATTTTGAGATATGGTCAATTTGGGGCTTTTGGACTTAAGTTGAAATCAAATGAAAGTGAGGTCCTACAAAGGCCAAATGAAGGAAAAATTTTATGTGTAGGAATGTTATGAAGATTTTTCAACACAAATTGTGGCCAATTGAGTGGCCATGAGATCAATTTGGTGGAACCAAGTCATGGGGCCAAAATTGGGTTTTTGATTTAAATCAAAATTGGGTTCAAATCATGGATCAATTGGGCTTGGATTTTGTCTTCATTGGTCATATGAAGAGTTAATTTGAGTTTAGAATTGAAATTGGGTAAATTGAGACTAATTGGATAAACATTTGAGGTGATTTGGAAAAAATATGGGCCTTTAAAGGGCAATTTAGGGGTTTTGATCAAGGATGGTTAAATTGGGGGGTTTTGATCAAGGGGCAATTTAGGGGTTTTGATCAAGGATGGTTAAATTGGCCAAATCGGGTCATGTGATAGTTGAACAAAATGAAATTAGGAATATTTGGGAGGTTTTCAAAATTTTTGGGATTTTGTAAAATTTTTGGAATTTTGGGCCAAAGAGGGGTATTTTGGTAATTTGGCCAATTTGGGGATTTTGGGTAATTTGGGTGTTTTCAAGGTGTTGGAAATGATATTTGAACAAGTTCAGGTATTTTGGCTAGATTTGGAGATTTTGGCCAAGTTTGGGGTCCCAATGATATCTGGGTAATTTGAGGGAATTTAGGGGCAATAGGGTACGTTGGGCATCTTGATAGAGTTGGATTTCCAACAACCATAAATAAGCCATGGATCAGTGGAAACGACATTTTGGGTCCTCTATGTAGTGGTCTTAGCTAAACCCTAGCGTATAGCTAATGGATTTAGGGAACCACTAATGGATTTAGGGAGATTTAGGGAACCACCTACAAGAGTCTCCTAAAAGTATCAAGGGACCAAATCCTAGAAGTTCTCGGTTTAGAGTAATAAGTGATTGTGAGTACAAGTGATTGCATGTAAGTGCCTTAGCCCTAAAACAACACCAACCCTAAGGTCCAACAGTCCTAAGGGTGACTCATCTTGAGTTTCCCCCATA